CCCTATGGGGTCATTAATGCCGATTACGTATTCATATTCATTCTGCTGCAAGGCTCTTTTTCAAGCAAACCACTGGTTTTGACCACTTCAACCGTAATCCCGAAATAAGGCTTTATTGTGGGATGGATTTCATTTTCGTATTAGGTATTGGTTACTCCTTAATCCACTTTCCAGCCAAATTTGGATATTTTACTCGTCCATTACCTACCTATTGTAGCACTACAGTACATCCGCATTGTGTAGAATGGAAAGCACGTCAAGTTTCTTCAGAGGAAGTTTTAACAAAGTTCAAAATACTAGGATTTTAAAAACGGCAACTGCAGAAGTAGCCTTTTCGTCCACAAAACTTTCACTTTATTAAATCTTCAAATCAACTAAACCCATCCCTGCTTCAGTTAGCAAAGAATCTTCTTTGTATAATAGTTTCTTTGTAATGGCAATAAAAGCCGAATTACCTGAAATGCAGGCGGTAGCATGCACTAATGAGAATGCTGAATTCTCTCAGCTGAAGAAATCCTTAGATATCTTGTTCAAAGCCAATTGGAGATTCTGATATGGATGTTTAGCTATATGGAAACCATCAATAATTTTTATCTTGATGCTTGCAACTTCCAAATATGCCCTTTTTATTATGACGTATTCTGATGTCAAATCGACGTTCCACTTTAATAAATGTTACATCAAAATTACTCTCCGAATTCAGAGACTACTCTTTGATGAGCGTTCGGATAAATGTTTGGCCCGTCCTCGTGTGGTCGTGTCTCAATGCAAAACTCAATATCCTTAAAGTGTTTTGCTCAGTTTATATCAACTAGTCACGATAGTGTTGACGAATTTGAAGTGGTTATTAGCTTAGATATATGTTGGGTATGTAGCGCTTAGGATACCCTGGGGTATCCTTCACAACACCACAGCATACAAGACGGAAAAAACGTTGCAGGAAATCTCTGGCTACTCATGCGTTGCTGTTGTTTTGTTAGTTATTTACCTTTTGCTTTCACGTTCTACAGAACAGTAATCAAATATTCACGTTTAACAAACGTTTCGGCTATTTTTGAGGGTTTGTAAAGAATTAAAACGTATGCGTACACATCTAGAAATATCATTTTACAAAGACAATATTTTTTTCTGTTTGTGGGCCTTTGAGCGTTTCAGCTTTGAGTGGTCACATCCGGAAACTTCAAAATCGGAGCCAGATAGACTTTTTATAAATACACATATTGAGTCAAGCATTATCAATAAAAAGAAAATTTTGTCATATCCGCGTTTTTCCCCATCTTATATCATTGGTCCTTGGCCCTCTTCAGTCGCATATTTAAATAGTACCCAGCTTCATGTTTCATGCCATTTCTATGTTTACTTCGATATTTGGTCTGGTCTCGTCCACTCATGTCCTGCTATGGGATAAAAACAAGGCCTCTTGCGGATACTCCACTCATATCACATAGTTAATTTGCACGCTGGATTTCACACCTCCCTTAAGTTGTTTTCGGATTCTGCACATTACACGTGAGTGATTCCAAATCTCTGTCGTTATTATGTATACTTAGGTACGCAGAAATGATGCGAAATTGCAAAAGATGTAGTAAAAAGGTTCACATTATCATGCTCCATTGAACCCATATGAACAGAAATCCACTGATTTTTGATTTTTCTAATGAAATTTTTCCCACCATAATATCCAGTGTCATCAAGTTTTTTCTTCCGTAGATATGTCGATCCTTGACCTCTAAAACCACTATTAATAGAAGTAACACCATAAAAGCTGAATACAGAATGCTGAATGACTGCATTAGAATGATATTTTCAAAAGTAGCAAAAGGAAATTAATATAGTTCTGCGTAATCATCTCGCTATTCATTCACACCATTTTATGAACCAGATGTCCTATATAAAGGCTGCAATGCCAATTCTACGCAGTGCTATTATAAACTCTTCGTAAGCTTCTTCTGCATTGAAGGTAGCTATTGCGATAAAAATGTGTATGCATGAAAAAGAACGCTGTAGATGCGCCTTAATTGCAGAACCACAGTTTCTTATAGGCGCAAGAAAAGGACCCAGAGTTAAGAAGAACTTGTTAACCTAAGGATCATCATCGTGCATTTTTGGAGGACTAATGTTTATTTTTGCTATAAGTGACCCTAAAAATCATATGAGATCAGTCAGGTGCCTGCAATAATTTTTTCAACCTATATAGTAATTGGCAAACAGCCAATAGACCTAATGGGAGCCGATTCGGTTATGTCGCTCTATGCGCATGAAGGAATAGGCAGAAGACGGCTGCGTCACTTTGGGCTTCACTAACCTCAACAACTGCTTATTGAGGGTTCAAGAGGTCGCTGTTTCGGAGAAAATGAGATGAAATCACATCCGCCATCGGACATGTTCGACGAGACCTTTTGAAATGTACATTGCTGGGCATTCTTGGCCAAGGATCACTCATGTTGCTCAGCAACAAACAATGAGAAACTTATTCTCATTGTTTTCTTCCACAAGGGATCTTTGGAGGTGTCACTACTTCCAGACATTTCATTTGCATGATGTCTCATATCGCGTTTTATTTTCTCTTCTATAGGTGCACATTTCAAGAATCGCCTCAAATTGAGAAGGGCTTGAGACATCGATTTGCTTGAAGGAATTGAATTTGTTAGCTGATTCTAGACGAAAGACAGGTCATGGCAATCACTGTTTCTGCTAAAGTATAATGACCAGTAACTTTCTTAAAGCGTGTTGTACTCCTTCATTTTCTGTGGTTGCTAGAGTGTCAGTTCGCAGCTTTACAATGCAACGTTCAAAGAAATTGACAACTTCAATGCAATACCAGCAAAATCTTCTCTTTATATGGCTATCGATAGAGTAGTAAAGGACGTCTTGCGGAACATGTTTGCCGCACTTGCGGGAAAAAGTAATTCAAAATACATCTGATCGAAGTAAATGATACCATAGTGTGAAGATGAACTCCCCAGACACCATGCCCCCACAAACCACCCATGTCTCTAAAAATGTCGTTAGGAATTGCAGAGATACTCTGTAAATACGTCCAATCAAGTTTTCAGAAGCAGTAAAACCAATTTTTTGATTGTTAGTTTTCATTTTTGATCCCTCTGCTATCGACCTGCCTTCGTCTTCTTTCCATTTCATCGATATACTCCGCTCTGATGTTTCTTAACAGATTCGACTCTATGAGATCTT